TGGGGGAGGAAGGGTGACGTGGAGGGGGAACTGGTGTGGGTGGGGAAGAGACGGGGGAAGAAGGGAGGCAGGGGTTGGAGGGGTGGGGAGGGAGAGGGAGGGGGGCGAGATGACACGATGGTAGAGGAACGGGGAGGGGAGATGGGAGTGGAGATGGGGGTTGGACGCGACGGTGGCGGGGGGGTGAGGAAATGAGATGGGGGTTGGGAGGAGCGAGGTGGAAAGGCGGGGGGTGGGAGGTGGAAAGGGAGGGAGGTGGAAAGGGAGAGAAGTTGGGTGGGGGAAGAAGACAGCGGGAGAGCAAGGGAGATAAAGCATGTGTGCAACGGGTATATTCTCCTCCAGCAAGATGTCTGCTCAAAGATAGAACTGAAGGCAATTGTTTCACATGTGTTTATTTACAGAGTTCCTCATTATAAGCACATATCACATCCAACATTAACAAGTCCCAGTACGGCAACTGGGGTCGTTCAACCTCTATTTTCCTCACTTTCACAACAGTTTTCATTCGTACAGTTGTTTGCAGCTCTTAGAAACACAGGATTAACTGAAACACGCAGCAGACAAAAATTTTGAAATTTGTTTTCTCCAGAAGGTTCCTGCTCAAAGTAATGTATAATTTTATAGCGCTTTCTCCCTCAAAATTGTCCAAATTATTGCACCAAAATACCATTGAATACTCATTTGGTACCTTATAAACTGCATACACTTACACATCAAAAGATTGATCTGAACTGAGCTTATATTAGGCAATTTGAAATCACTTATATTTAATGTTTTTCTTTGGGCAGTAGTTGGTTGGAATCCAAAATCCATACTATATAATGTAAAGGTGAACTCCATACTTTGGTCATATATCCCTGGAATGAAGTGGAGCATTCAAGGGCATTCTTGTCCTATTAGCACTGTTTGTGAACCCCGGAATCACCAATAACAAGCTGGCAATCTTAAAGCCAGGAAAGGTGCACTTTATTAGAAATCCTTACCACTCCACAACATGAATACAGAATTCTTTCAAGTTATTACTTTTCCATAAAACCTCAAATTTCTTGTTTCAAATCAGCATTTATAGAGATCCTTCTTATTCAGTAAGCTAAGAGTTAAACACAAGCTCAGAGATAGATAAAAATGCATTTCAGTGATCGTTTCTAACTTTGTTTCTTGGTCGAGTAGAAATTTATATAAAATCATAGCCTTTCAACTTCTGTTCTGGAATAATCTATTTTGGATTAAAAATGATCTTTCCACAAGCTTTAGATTGACTTTCAAATCAAGATAAAGCCTGTTTGTTTTGCACCAAATCTTCCCACAGTACCTAAATGTTCTGTTCAGTACTATTATGGCCACAGGCACATTCAGTTGTTTCTTTGCAAATGCCAGCTCTTGTAAACTAGCAAAGTGAATATTTTTTTTCTTTAATCACAGAGCATAAGCTCTAGTCACCTTACAAGAAATTTAATTTGGTTTTAAAGACAACCAGTATAATATAAATTGATTTCTTTGCAAATTTCAATGATCATATAGATAACATAAATTTCTAAACTCTAATTACCTGAAGCATTATGTCGATCTTTTCTGAAGTCACTGTCAATCCCTGCACCAATGGAACTCATTAGTTTCTCAATCTAGGAAAAGAAACGAGCGGTTAAGATACTAATTGTTTTGACAACGGTGCATCTCTTTCCAAGAGAACACCAACATCAGCCAGCGCAAGCCAAATTTAAGCAAGTCACAGCACTAGGTAAAGCCCAATTTAACCTTACTGATAGATTTGCTCCAACAGACCACCCTTAAACACAAACATGCACATTCACGAATAAACGAAACAGATGCAGACCGGTCCAGCAGCAAGTGTTGATTAGCATTGACGGGCATATTGTTTCTTAGCTTACAAAGGTCCAAAATCCCTCACACCATTCTACACGTAAGTTTACAATAAAAAAAATCTTACACTGCACACAGACTTAGATCTGTGAGGATTAGACATTGGAAGAAGAGGTTTCTGCTGTGGGAGATGAAATAAATGCACTGTAATGAAGTAAACTGCAATCACAGAAGAAAAGTTATCATATTACAAATATAGCCTTGACTTCATAATCCAACTCATTTATCACACACATCTTCAGACTCCACAAATAAGCTGTGAACAACAGGAAAAATGCTCTCTGCAAGATCAAATATTATTAAGCTGCTGAATTCAAAGATGAACTAGCAAATCCAAGTGTGAATAAAGGACATTTGCATATCATAGCAGATCTCTGAGTGAGTATCAGATATTCAAGATGATATTTCTCAATTTGACATTCTACATGCATAAACCATTGGAGACTCAACATTTTACTATGCACACATGCCTAATTTTTTTTTTAGGTGTTTTGGGTTGTTTTAAAGCATCTTGAGAACTAACAACACAAAATTTATGTGGGCATACTGATATGAAGCAAAATTTAGGCAATGACAAGAAAGGTGATAAAGCTTGAATTCTCATGATAAGTCAATGATATTTGGCTTCACAGTGGTAAAGAAGATTTAACAGATGGGAAAAATGGTTAGGGACTGATTAAATGATTAACAACACTGAATGACAACTATAACTCTATTTTAATAAAAACACCAAACGTTCTCAGTAAACTTAGCAGAATTTCTGCTCATTTCTATATAAATAAATACTTTTGAGATTAAAGTTACAAGAAAAAGAAATCAGTGCTGTGATTCATACTTTTTGTGAAATAAATTTGTGATGTTCTATTTTGGTACATCTTTATACCATCTTTTAAGATATGCTTGAGACTGTTTTCGTATTGGTCTTCCAATCAGAAAGAAATGTGGGCTATCATCTTCTGTGTCAGACAAATAGCACAAACACAACTCAATTGAAGTAGTTACAAAGGAAACAGTCTCAAAAAGTAACAGGAGGTACAACATGGAGGCCTGGCATAAAGTGGAAGCCGAAGAGAATTTTGAATACTGAACATTAATATCCCAAGAGGAAATTCAGCCTCAGTTCCACAGCAGTGTAACATGAATAATCTTGACTGTAATAAGATAATGATTAGAAACAGCTAAGTTTTTTTGCTTCAACGACCAAACGCTAACCTTAACGAAGGTTATTTTTCTGAAAAATCTCTGATAACCCAAGACTTGGTAAGTTGACACTTCAGCAAAGGTTGAGAAACACTGTCAAAAATTACACGATACCAGGTCCAACAGGTTTATTTGGAATCAAAAGCTTTCGGAGTCTTGCTCCTTCTTCAGCTGTCAGTAAGAGAGGTGGCATCAGACACAGAATTTATGCGCAAAAGATCAAAGGGTCACAGAACTGATGCGAATGTATTGAACAAACCTAAGATGGCTGTTAAATCTTTAAACAGTTAGAAAGGATTAATATGCAAATACCAGAATTTCTTTCAAGTCACTGCCCTGAGATGACTAAAAGTGTTATCAGTATACCAGAGGTGACATCTCAGGTCAGTCAATGCATTTTAGGTGTGAGGCCTTGTTTAGAACCACTCACGCGTGCCAGCACCCTCTCTCCCTCCACACCCACACTCTCTACACTCCCCCCCCCCCCCCCCCCCCCCCCCCCCCACCCCCGCTGCAATTGTCTAACTTGAAAGAAATTCTGGCATTTGCATACTAATTCTTTTTAGCTGATTAAAGAAATAACAATTATCTTAGGTTTGTTCAATACATTCGCATCAGTTCTGTGACACTTCAATCTTTTGCTCATAAATTCTGAGAAAACACGAAATAATCAAAATCAAATCATAAACGCACTGATCTTTATAAAAACAGGTTATATCAAAGCAAAATCATGTCACTTGGTAAAATATGCTTCATTCTTAGACAATAACCATTTTGTTCTAAAATATGTTATTACACTGTAGATAGGTATTATTTCACAGTCTTAGGCAAGCCCTGTACAATAACGTGAATTCATTTCAAACCAAAAACTTATAGCACAGCTAATTTGCAATGCCCAGCTCACATCACATTGCCCAAAAGAAACTACCACACTGTGGGTACCAATAGGTTCGTTGGAAATATCACTATAAAGGGCATGCATTATTTAATGAAAATGGCCACAAGATTGGTAACCTTCCTTTATTTAGTTGAGGAAGTACTTAAGGACGTGGCCCAAGAAAAAGTGAATGCATTGGTGCTCATCTTTCATGATTCTTTAGATTTGAACAATTCCTACAGATTGGAGTATAGTTAATGCAACCCCACAATTTAAAAAAAAGATCAACATTTAGGGCATTTTGCTAGACCGCAGTACTAGGGAAAATTTAGACTGGGCAGCCTGATATTGGTAGTAGTGAAAATGCTAGAGTCCATTATAAAAGATTTAATAGTAAAGCACTTGGAAAACAGTCAAAGGAAAGAACTGGACAGAGTCAGCATGTATTTACAAAAGGGTATCATGCTTGACAAAATTACTGGCACTTTGAGAGCATGTAACTAATAGAGTTGATAAGTGGATGTGATTTACTTGGATTTTCAGAAGGCTTTCAATAAAGTTCCACATAAGAGATTAGCACATAAAATTAGAGTGCATGGAATGGGAATAGTGTATTGACATGGATACAGAACTGATTGGCAGACAGGAAACAAAGTAGGGCTAAACACATCATTGCCCTGGGTTGGACCCCAACTTTCACAATATAGGTTAAAGATTTCAATGAGGTAACTAAATGGAATATTTCCAAGTTTGCAGATGACACAAAATTTGGGGAGAAAGTGAACTGTGAGAAGGATGCAGAGATGCCGCAGTGATTTGGACAGGTTCAGTGAGTGGGCAAGTGCATGGTAGATGAAATACAATGTGGATAAATGTGAGATTTATTCTTAAAACATCGGTAAATATAGCTGTAACCAATCCAGCCTTTCATTGGACTTTGTCTAATCCTGCAACTGATTTCCAAGTGCTCTGTTGTCTCCCAGACTTGGGTGTCCTTGTCCACCAGTCTCTGAAAGCAAGCATGCAGTGCAGCAGGCAGTGAAGGTGGCACATGCTACAAATGCCTTCATAGTGACAGGATTCAAGTAGAGGAGCAGGGACGTCTTGATGAGACCACAGCTGGAATATTGCGTGCAGTTCTGGTCTCCTTTCATGAGGATGGATGTTCTGGTTGTGGAGAGGTTGCAACAATGGTTTACCAGACTGATTGCTGGGGTGGCAGGGCTGACATATGAAGAAAGACTGGGTGGGTTAGGGCTGTATTCACTGGAGCTTGAAGAATGAGGGGGATTCTCATGGAAACCTATAAAAATTCAAAAAAGGACTAGACAGGATAAATACAGGAAGAATGTTCCCGATGACTGGCAAGTCCAGAACCAGGGGTCACAGTCTACAGATCCAAGGTAGGCCATTTAAGTCCAAGGAGAAATCTCACCCAGAGAGCTGAGACATTGTGGAATTCTCTGCAACGAAAGTAGTTCAAAACACTGAATGTTTTCAAGAAGTTAGATATAGCTTTTAGGGCTAAAGGGATCAAAGGGTATGGGTATAATAGGTGGGAACCGGGCACTAAGTTGGATGATAAGTTATGTTAATATTGAATGGTGGAGCATGCTTCCAGGACCAAATAGCTTACTTCTGCTTCTATTTTCTATGTTTCTATGGTTAACCCATTACCAAGATAATATAATTCGGAAGGTGGACATATCTGCAGAAGTGACAAAACACTCATGGTCAGATTGAAAAACAGTTAGGTCTGTAATGCATCCTCCACGTGGTAGGTTTGGACAGATAATATGAACTTCATTTTTTATGCTAAACCACGGAAGGCCCTACGCTTGTTTTCCTGTGTGCTAAACCGCAAAAAGGAACATTGCCAAATGTACTTGACCACCCACTTAACAGCTTTTGTCTGCTTGATCATTAGTTTCACACTGGGTTTTTAAATCAGAGTGGATTGGAAGCATTTGGTTTATGTATCAAATAGATCCTTTCCATTTATGGTCACCACATTTTACAGCGTCTTCAAAATAAAAAATAAATTAAATTACTAATGTGAGAGATGTGAAAGGTCAATGAGAGTTCATTGACTCTTTCAGTGAACCACATGTTAAACCAGACTGTTACTCATCAAGAGGTCTGTGCTATAAACCTTATCATCATCAGTAGAGGTAGCCAGTAGGGCGGTTTCTCTCAGAAGCTGTAAAATCCAAACTGATGTTGGAAATGAACAAGGTTATGAGCCTATTGTGTACCTTTCATAAAAGATGGTAGGTTGCCACAGGCTTTGTAAAATCCCTTTTCAAAAAGAAAATTGATAGTGGATTTTGAGACAAACCAATGCAGTGAATACAATATTAACATAATAACATTCCCCAGAATCCTGTCTTGAATTATCCACCACTTACACAGTGAAATTGCAAAGCCAGTTAATGCTAGAATTCCTTTCTGTAGCGATTATGACATTGGTAGGTCCTAAAATATTTTATTCTTTTTTCAAATGGGATTTTCTGACCATTTCTGTAGACACGTAATTTATGAAGAGTAGAAATTACGAAGTATTGGGAATGCTTTAACAATACTGTTCTGGATGTGGCCACAATCTTGTAGTTGGAGGATCACAATCTAACAGTTGTTGTGCTGTACGTTTATGATATTCTGTGTCAACCTCAGTAATTTTTCTTTTTAAAACTCTCTATGCCCAACATGGACAAGGTGAAAACAATACATTAGGTGATGCCCAACCATGTGCAGTATTCCAGGTACAAGTTCAGTTCTAAGGCACTACTTCTGCAGCCCAAAACAGAGAATCCCACTGAGCATTGGAAGAGGTGTTACAACTCTAACTACAGATCAGTACCGCTCAATAATACAAAACATCCAGAGTAGCAAATAACTGAATCACGCTACTCACAACTTGCATATCGGATATAAAATTCTAAATATAAAATATTCTAAAATCTAAATTGATGTTAATAGAAATTCTGTTTTGCTTTGGTCAAAGACGGGCTCTGACTCACTGGGGCACTTTCAGAAAACAGAAC